CACAGTCCTCACCCAAGTATCCAGGTCCTCGTCCTTCTTCCTGTCGCCAAAGAAGGGCTTTGGACTCAGCAAGGGAATCTTGGGCATCCACTGCATAGGCTGGATTTGCCCAAGTGATTGCTGCAGTGGCTGCGTAGCCACTGAGACAGGTTGCTGCACGCTAACCTGCGGCTGTTCAGATAATGGCACTGTAGCTGCCACCGTCCTTGATGGTACGGGAGAAGAGATTAGAACCTGACCACTGGCTACTGGTTGACTACCTGAAAGAGGAATGCCATTCATAGGAGAGAAAGAGGGCCCTATCGGTGACGGCATCATTGAGGGACCCGCAACCGAAGGGGGAGCTACAGCATACTGAGGCTGCCTCATCACTGGACGAGGCGCCTACAGTGCCACCATAATTCATTTCTGGCCATCCACTAGTTCGGCCAACACTTCCTGCTGGACAACCTGCGTTTCTGCCGCACAAAGGAGTGAGCGACGCAGCGCTTGCATTGCAAGGTCAAATGTCGACTCCTCTAGTGCCTCTAGATTTCTGAACTCCTGCCTCCTAGTCTAGCTTTTCTAGTGATAGCCCTTTGTCTCCTCTCTGCTGCATCTCTCAATTGCTGTTGTAGTTGATCATGCAGTTAATCCGCTTGGAGGATCTCATAATCCTCAGGTGTGAGTGGAATCTGTTGGCTGACTTGTGAGCCAACAGATTGACTAACAAAAATATGAGAGATACCCTAACTGACACCTGGCAAAGAGGTTTGGGACAAGGCCTGTGACACTGTGGAGGAGGCAACCTGAACTCTAGCATCCGCTAGTCTTGCTGTTGCAAGTGTCCGTTTAGCGTTGGTTGCCGCTGTCCTGGCCCTCTCTAAAGTTGTCCTTTCCCTGGCTTCCCTTCGCAGCCGCCTTTCCTCTCCTTGACCTAATTCCAAGAAGGTAATCAATTGACTGAGTGCAGTTTTACGAGTCACTCTAAGATGTTCCACTACTAGTTCCTCCTCCTCACTACCGCCTGCATCACACATGAGCTACAATGTGTGTGATCTAAACTAGAGCCCACACTGAAGATGTTCCACTACTCGTTCCTCCTCCTCACGACCGCCTGCATCACTCATGAGCTACAATGTGTGTGATCTAAACTAGAGTCCACATTGAATCCTACCTCAGCATGACACACAACCGGGTATGAACAATCAACTAATTCCGCTCAGCCTAGAGAGAAGTAGTTAAGTGGTAACCAGCAATCAATGTCAGGTCCTACAGGTAAGTTCAATTCTATTTTTAGATTACTCTTACACAAAATGCAATGCAGCAAGGAAGGAACTAACCTATCTGCAGTTGTCTGCCAGTCGTTAAAAAGTCCGTACAACGAAGTAATCAAAAATAAAAATATTTAACTATAGAGATGCATCCTGGATGGCAATTCAACTAATTAGTGCCACAGCGAACCATTACCGGAATCCCCCCTGTCTCCCTGTATCCTTCTTGAGTTGTCTCTTTGTGTCAACGCCCTGAGCATCTGGTTGAGCGGCGTGGCTGAAGCTGTAATCTGGCCCACCCCTGTGGCCCAAGTCTATGCCGAACCTGCCAGCCCCTGCACTTTATTTACCCTGGCATGCAACTAGCTTACACCCGGTTTGATCTGGCTGATCAAGAGGCAATTTAAGGACAGCCCCCAAGGTCCTCAAGAATTATTTAACGTTGCAGATAGGACGACAATCACAGCCAGAGTCAACACCGAGTCCCGCCAGAAATATTTATAGACGGTCTGGTGAGTGTTTGTTCAAAGGGCTGGCATGCCCTGCATGACCTCTATTGCCCAGCAGCAGAACCAAGGACTTGCGGCAAAGCATGCGTGTACTCGTCCCAGCGGGTTGGCATGGTGACCGTGACCCGAGTGCTTCGTCCAGGGCCCTTCAGAGGCAACGCCCGTCTCCCACCAGCTTGCTGCCCAGGAAGAATGTCGACTCTCAAGGTTGAGCGCTCGCGACTCCTCACATTGAGAGGACTCTCAAGACAGAACTCACTTCCTCACGTAAGAAGTAATGTAGAGGGTAGATAAGGAAGAGAGCAACATACCTTATAATGCTGCCCCCAACCACAGATTTCTCACCGGCAACCTGATGTGCATTTATGATAACCGGTCTTTGCCTCGGCACAACCAACAGCAGACTGCAGTTCCACGTCGGCTTAAATGCCACATCAGCGAGCTCTCATCATCCAGCGTACACCCCTAATGTCACCACATAGCTTCCTGGCGCGCCCACACGACCCTGGGCCGCCTATCACTCAACGCCCAAGCCTTATTACCGCCCCACACCTCATGTGAAGCACCAAACAGCTATTGCGAAGAGTCAATGAAGCGCAGTTCGAACCAGCTCTGATACCAAATTGCAAGGAAAATGAGCAATAGCGAGATGACAATATCCAGAATGCACAATCACATTGAAGGCCAGATAGTATCACAGTGTCCAGAAAGTAGAAATG